TGAGCGGGGAGCAGGGGGCGGGCGGCCGGGCCGTGCCCAGCCTAAGGCCGGGGCCAGGGACTCCTCCGAGCCGGCCCCAGCCCTCGCCAGCCAAACCAGCCGCCTTTCTGGAAACGGAGGTGGAAGAGGCCTTCAAGTTCAAATCATTGTGGAGGGACTTTTTAAGCAAAAGTAAATACTGTTCTGAAAAGGGCGGTTGACAGCTTCTAAACAGAAACAGGGATAGCTGACATGCTGCATAATTGCCTCCACATGCTTAAATTCATTTAGCTTTGCACAGCTACAAAAAACCAAATAAAAAACTCAAACCAGGTCATCATAATATTTCACAACTGCGGGGGAGAGGCCTGGTACTGCGCGTTCCTGACGCTCAGCTGCAGGGGGTGCATGGCCCGTGATCCAAAGGCCTGGGGCCTTGGTGGATGGGCACAGGCGGATGTTAAAGCACAGGAGGGCTCAAAACTGACGGGGTTTCTGAAGGCATTTGCACTGGCGGAGGCTGGCCTAGCCACGGCTGCTGGCAACAGCGGACAAGACTCCTTGAGACTGTGACCAGCTCCTGCTTGGGTCTGCTAAGACCTTGAAGAATGATCAGCACCTCCAGTACCCGTGAGCTTTCAAAAATTTAAATACACCTCAGCTACAAAGATTTCCAAGCGATACGCTGTTGTGCCGGTGTCAGGTGGGCATGGCAACAAGCCTGCAGCGTAAGGTTCAGAAAGGTGTTTGAAAACATCTTCAGGTGTTTTGCTCTGACTCATCTTCCTGCTATGCCCTCCTGTGAGCTGCAGCTAAAAGTCATTAGAGTTAGACCCAAATAAAGTACCTGGATACAGAGCACCCAGGGCCCTGGTTGGTGTGCATTTAAAGCTTTGGAAAGGAGTTTGGAAAGCTGGGTTAGAGTCTGCAGCTCACTGAGGAATGCCTGGGGAGAGTTTGGATCTCCAGAAAGAAAATCAGACAGTGCTGTGACCAAGGAGCTGTCTAGGGTCAGCACATGCATTTCCAGCCAGCCACACTGCTGAAGAGAATCACCTCCACTGGTTTGGAGTCCAAAGATCAAAACCATTTCCTGAAGGCAAAATTTCCAACTTTTCTTTCTCAAGCTATGCTTGAAAAAGCCTAATACCCCGACTGCCTGCAAGGGTCTTGTTCTTCAAACACTCCTGATATGGGAGGCTGATGTACACTTCCCTGCTGTCTGATGGCATTCAGATTCACATCTCCCACCCCCCGCCTAATACCTGAACCACAAATAACTCTATGTGTTGTCCAATAGCCGTTTTAATGAAAAACATAGGAACAGGGTGGTAGTGTTTGCTTTTGTTAGAACCCCTTGTTGCTGAAGGAGGATCCAGTCCTGCAGCTGCAGGGGAATCCTTGCTCCATGATAGCTCATAGAAGTCTATTCCAAAGGGGATCAGTGGAGAACAATAGAAGACAATACCCAACAGAAGAATTGGTATATGTTTTAAAAGTTTCGTATTAATTTCCTGGAAGAGCTGCAGTACGGCATGCTCCATCCAAGTCTTAGCACATATTCTAACACCATTCTCTCTCAGCCTTGATTTTGTCCATCATAGATGGAAACAGCATAGCAGCCCTACAGCCGGCAAAACTGGAAAATTTGGGTTCCTGCTTTATTACTTATGGAGATGGAGCTTACACCAATGGTGTTCAGCTTCATTTCGTAGTAGAGCTGGCTTGGGAACTCTCTTTCAGTAACTGCTTTTTGCTGAATAAATGTAACAAAGTCACAACTACTTGTGGGAAAGATTGCAGCAGGTTTCTAGCTTTAAAATTAGTTGAGGGGAAAAAATTCAGAACTATCAAAATATTCTATAATGGATATTTACTGAGTGAAAAAGTTCTGGTGTTTTCAGTTCAGAATGACTGCTCATTTCAAAACTCCTGTTACAAACTAGTACAAAAAACAGGATAGAAAAGAAAATACTTTGACTGGCCCTCAGGCTGACTGTTATATTTTATTTTGGTGCATAATTTTGACTTGTTTCCCATTGAGGGAAAAATTTAATCACAAAACTTCTCCCTGGAGAACGATGTCATTATTAATTTATGTAAAAATATAATCCTAATTCTAAGTCTCTCTTTTTCTCAGAGGACAAACTCTCATCTCTCTGGCCACTCTCCTACTCTTCCCTAAGTCAGCTATCTTCTCTCTTCTTAAAGATCCTACTATGAAAGCATATAGTCTAAACCATGGTTATTTCCGTGGGTAGATTAACTGAATAGTACATGTTAGGTCTGAGCCAATGTAATTTCCTTCAAGAGAAAAGGAGTGGATTTCGTAAGAATTTGATGACTTGAAAGCTTTGAAAATAAATCTTTTTCTCCCACAGGCTCAGGCAAGATTTGTGGTCTGAGCATGTTGCCAAGAGTAACTTACTGTAGACTTTTCTTAAGGAAATAAAAGTGAAAACAGTGCACGAGTGCAAACATCTAGTGGTGGAGTAAGATAAACTCATTGAACTCAGTGACCTCATTTCTCTTTCAGTTGCATAAAAGGACTTGCTCTTTCTTGTACTAGCCCTCGTTGTTGTTGCAAGTGTGGTTAACTTCACCTTGCACTTTGGTGGGATCCTTTCCATGGTGTGTATAACGCCCACGCCCTTCATCTTACGTCTCCTTTGTGGTTCTTTTTCACGTTTTCATTTCATGTTACTTGCTTTAGCCTTTTGCAATACAGCTCAGTGGAAAAGAGTCTTCCCAGGCTCTTTGCTGTGTGAGTTGTTTTGATTCCCAAACTCTTTACCCTTTTCCCTGAAGTTACACAGAGCTCTCTCTCAGTCTTTGAGCATCTTGAAACACCCACACATTAACAATGTTTGTTAATACAAGACACATTAGAAATGGAGAAAACTTAACGTGAGGCAAAGTGGTTGGTTTATCTAGATTTAGCCTTCATGAAGTGGATTGCTATTAGCAAAAGCCACGCAAAGTTGTGCTATTTGAATTATGCCTCAGGGGGTACAGCTTCCATATCATGTAGGCGCAGAGCTAGCAGTAGCATGGCATTTTCAATGTGACTTATTGTGATATAAAGGTCCTTATGTCAGAATGCCTGTGTCTACCCCTCTTGCACCAGCATTGCGGGGGGATTGGAGGTTGAAGAAAAAAAATCCCCTTCTAAGGACGTTCTTCTTTTCCCAAAAGACGTGCCAGCTCTTAATTATAGAAGTCTTCAGTATTTATAGGGCAAATCCCCCTTAGTTTTTCATTCTTTTGTGGTCTGAAGAAAGGAAGGCAGATTTTCTTAGATTTCTAACCTTGTTCTTTCAGAGAAAGAAAATCCCTCCTGTTAGTCAAAAGCATCACCATTTCATCATTCAAGCCCTGCTCTATGTTCATATATATCCAACATTAGAGTTATTAAATTGCATTAGCTCCTTTCTGCAAGTCATCCCAATAAACTTCACCCTCTGTGAAGGAAACTTCTCTTTTCCCTCCTGTAGTGCTTTGCAGATAGTTCTGCAGTGTCAGCTGGACCCATGAAGCCAAGGGGAGTTTCTGCTGGCTGTTTGTGCCCGAGATGGAAGCTGGAGATTCCCTTTTGCTGGGAAATCCCTTTCTGGTTAAGCACAGTAAAAGACCTGACTCCACCTTTGTGGACAGGATATTCTGTAAACATAGTGCTTTATAATCCCATGGTTCTGTCCCAGCAGAACAGTTGTTGCCTCATGCTGGTTTTATTTAAAATAAAAGGTAAGAGCAATCTCTGCAACCCTGCCCTTCCTCAACACTACTTGGCACGTCAATGTCAACAGGGAATATACCAGGGTCCAAAATATTAGCCATGTATTTCTGTTAGTCCACAATCCCTCCTGTTCCAAAAGTGTTTCTAGTGGTGGAACATCTCTCAGTTTACCAAGAACTTTTTGTGGCCCGTACTGGAAGTCTCTCTACAAGGCCTACAACTGCAGCATCAGTCTTGCTCGTTTTTTTTTACTTTTGTGGTTCATCTTCAGTAAGAACTGTTCACAAACTACCTGAAATTAGGTCTTCAGTTACACCTGTACAGAAAGAAAGAATCTCCTTTCTAAGAGCAGCACTATCAGTGTGAGTTTCAAAAGGTGGTATGTATTTCTTGAAAAATACACATAAGGAGGAATAGAGTCCTGATACCTCCTTAACCATCAACCTGCTGGATTCTTTCATCTTAAACTGTTCACAAACTACCTGAAATTAGGTCTTCAGTTACACCTGTACAGAAAGAAAGAATCTCCTTTCTAAGAGCAGCACTATCAGTGTGAGTTTCAAAAGGTGGTATGTATTTCTTGAAAAATACACATAAGGAGGAATAGAGTCCTGATACCTCCTTAACCATCAACCTGCTGGATTCTTTCATCTTAAAGCATTACAGATTTATTTGTCACTGAATCTGGAGGCTGGTTCTAAACTCAACAGCAGGTCTGTCAGTAATGTGCCCTGTCTGTAGTGTTACTCAGCATTTTCTAATCTGCACAAGTTTTTCTTTTTTCTCTGTTTTTTTTCTGCCAGCACTTGGGGAAGTGTTGGCAGAATCACAATGGTGTTTGGGAGAAAAGTTTTCCTCAGGGAGGTATAGGCTGTGCTCATTTGATACTTTACCAAAAAGAGCAATAAATATATTAGATGTTTTCCCAAGGGAAATAGTTGCATTCAGTAGTCATGCATCTGAGGAAACTAAACTCTCCCCCGAGAGGTCTGTGGACAGGCATTTGAACTGAAATAAACAGCAGGATTTCAGGCAAGGGCTTTATCTGATGAACTACTGATGCAGTCTGCTCTAATCCCTTCAAAAGCAATGAATAGGAGTAACCA